GGGGTGACTAAAACTTCCAGCCTTGTGGTTGGCAGCTGAGTGTGCTTTAACCCTTTGCATCACCCAGGGATTCTCACAGGACATTTATCCACTGCTGCCCAGGCAATTCTGACTCTTAGGTAAAGGACAGGGTCGAGCTGCCCCCATAAGTTTCCAAGGCTGTAAATCTATATGGGAACTGGCTACCTCCTCTTTCCCCCATGGAGCGACCTTGTGGTTCTCAGCCCATGCATAACCCACTGTAGCACTTGGGTTCTGCCCAAGGCGGCAGTTGCAGGTTCAAGGGCTGGGTTGACGTTTTGAACCAGGAAGGCAGATTTTCTCTTCCCAAGACAAAGGCAAACATGAGAGCTACTAATGAGTATTCAATAACTCAACAACACATTCAAGCTCACGGCCATCGAGTGGATTCCGACTCAGTTACCCTATGCGACTGAGTAGAACTTTTCCTGCTGGGTTCCAAGACTAACCCTTTACAGAAGCAGAAAGTCTCATCTTTCTCCCGTGGAGCAGCTGGTGGTTTCGAACTGCTAACCTTGGGGTTTTGATTCCGATGCGACACCAACAGGGCTTCTATTACTCTTCAGTCATGAAAGATGGATTCTTACTATTCTTTTTTTCTTTTTTGTTGCAGCTCAGGACTTAGTTCTCAACCAGTGTTTCCTCCTCTTTTAAAAAAATGGTTTTAGTGCGACAAGAGTTTAATACTTAGGATTCAGCATCCAGTTTAAATAGTTAGGCTTCACACTAATTGTAATGATTATAGGCTATTCTGTGGGAAATGGTGAAAAAATTGTGCTTGGGGTGGGTCTTGAAGATAATGAATTTACCTTTTTTGTATAATAGGTCTCTGCTTTTAATAAGCCAGCAATTTCCTGATGGCCCGACAAGAAAGATCCAAAATTGCATTTGGGAAGTGTCACAGGAAACACGCCTTCTCTCTAAAAAGAGGAATCATTTCAATTATTCCCCAGACTGCCATTTGGGCCCATTAAGTGCTTTCCCCATTTACCACTGCCACCGACCTCGAGGGCTCAGCTATCAAAGAATATTACTGTCATTGCCTTTGTTGAAATGGGCCTTCCTCCCAAACCCCAAGGTCGTGTCTGGTGGCCTTGGGAGGGCCCAGCCACAAGGGAAACAACAGAATCACTGGTCATGTTGGTCTCCGGAAGAGTGCAGCCTTCGGGACCCAAGCAGCATTGTCCAGTGTGGGGGGGCCTGAGGGCGTGCTGGGGGTGCTGAGGCAGGCTCTCTGTTCTGAGCTGGAGGCCCGGTCGGTCAGGGCCGTGCTTCTGTGGGCTCTTGCAGGCTTTGTGCCTTACAACAGCTGCCAGGGCACCCCCAGCGAGGACAACATGTTCCAGTGTCTGAAGTCCTTCCAGGAGAGCACACGCAGATACAAGGAGCGGCTGGAGGAGCTACGCCACACCGTGGCCACCACCCCAAAGCTGAAGCCCATCTGCTCCCAGCAGACGGTCCTGCAGGCGCTGCACCAGTACTACCGGAAGTACCACCCCAGGATTCTGGGTACCGCTCCTTGAAACCAGCCCGGTCCCCTAGGGGTCCTGCCCAGCCCTCTCAGCTGCCACCAGTAAACCCAGTTGCTGCTCAGTTGCGCCTGACTCCTGGTGACCTCACGGTGGCAAAATGGAACTGGGCTCCGGAGGGTTTTCACTGGCTGAGGTCTCCGGTGTGGACCACTAGGCCTTTCTTCCGAGATGCCTCTGGGTGGACTTGACCCTCCAGTCTTGAAGTTGGCAGTGAATGTGATAACTAGCTGTGCCACTCAACGACTAAGCCCAGCACAGCCCCACACGCCAGGAGTCAGTACCAAGTGGCTTAAAGGAGCCTGGTGTCTTAGTCAGGGAGGAGGTGCTGGGGACCAGGAGCCCTTGAGCAAGTCTTACATACCTTCGGACATCGGCCTCTGAACCAGAAAGTCCCATTTTTCAGTTGCTTTCTCTGTGTCAGGCATCGTCATTTCATTCACCACTACACCAGCCCTCGGCCCAGCACTGCTATTTTTCCCCATTTCACCGAGGGCAGCAATAAGCAAGCCTCCCAGAGGTCACTTGTCTGCTTCAAGGTCAGAGCTCTGGGTCTAAGCCTGGCTCCTAACCTGGGGGTATGGCACTGAGGAGCCACCCCAATAGCAACAATAATGGGTTTTCTATAATATTAATCATCACAAGGCAGCTACCTACACTGTCCAGCACTCACCAAACAGGGATTTAACCTAGATGATTTTTAGGATCTGAAAAGTCATAGGAAAAGTAATCTTGCTTGCCACAGCTGTTTTGTTTGCAATAGAAACTTTCAAGACTATCTGACCCTGCAAATGTTTGCTATGCGTTAAATGCTTCCAACCCATTAGAAACAATGCTGGCCCAGGTAGATGAGCTTCAGCCCACTGTACACGGGCTTGTTGTGTGACCTAAGGTCAGCTGCTTTCCCTTCTCTGGGCCCCGGTGTCTTCTTCCAGGGCAGGGAAGGATGAATTAGAGGCACCCTTGGGCGCCTTCTGGCTCTGGTGTTCAGAGACTTCACAGCCTCAGCAGGTGGGTGGGTGATGTCACAAGAGTCAAACAGAGGGGAAGTGACTTGCCCAGGGTCACAGAACCAGCAGGGGGAGAGTCACAAGGGACGTCAGGGTCCTGAGGCTAACCCTACGTGCTTTATCCTCATCCTCTTCTGCCAGTGGTCATAGAGGGACTGTCACGCTTTCTCATTAATGTGAGAAAGAGGCAGAATCCGTTGAAGAGCCAGGGTTTGGGAACCAAAGACCAAACTTCAGACCAAATCTTAACCTTTCAAAGCCTCCTTCTCCCAAACAAGGGGTAATTGTGCAACAACCTCTTAGGGGTGGTGAGAAAATGCAATGAGACAAGATGCTGTACAGCCCCAAGCCAGGTGCCTGGCCCCCAGCTTCCATGACCCAGTGGTAGCTAGCTGTCCCCCAACCATCTGAGGCTGTGGGCTGCCTTGGGGGTGGGGGAAGACCAGCTAGCCTGGGACCTGCTGTGTGGCTTCGCAAAGCCCTCAAGAAACACGATGTCTTTTTTCAGAATGCAAAGACATAAGGAAGCCCCTGGAGGAGCCTCCGATCCCTGGCTGGGCGGGCTTCCTGCCCAGAGCCAAGGTCACTGAACTTGGCTGTGCCATGCGCTACACCGTCATGGCCCAAAACTGCTATCAGGACTTCCTGGAGATAGTGGAGCGGGCTAAGAGGGCCCGGGAGAAACCCTATGAAGAGTAAGTGTGGCTCAGGCCATCAGCACAAGTGAGGAGCACAGGGGGAGGAGCAGTACCTGGTTGACTAGGAGCCTGGAGTCAGGGCAGGGACTCTCCTTGAGTCTGATTTATTTTATTAAAGGCACCTTGTTACAGCTGCTGGGCCTTCCCCATAAGCAGACCCTGCATCGCTCCTCAGCCAGCCCCCAGCAGCCTGCCCCTGGTCTATGCTGAGCTGCACAGAGGGGCCAGAAATCTATACTGCAGCTCTGAAGGCTGCCCAGGACTCAATGGTGCTCGGGAGGGAGGTGGTAGGGGGCACCGAGTAGGATGGCTCCTGGGGTCTTAGTTTTCTCTTCTGTAAAAAGTGGGGGGGAATCCTTACCTTTAGGAGACTTATAAGGGCTAGAGAGAAGCAATCCTGACCAGGACTGTTGCTTGCAGTACTTATGAGATCTAAGGAGTAACTGGGATTTTTGTCCTTTTATTAGAATCTATGGAGTTAGCTCCACACAGCTGCCTCTTGCTCCCCAACGGAACATTTTGCAGCATGATGGACTGCTACCAAAATACCCGGATTTTTCTGTTCCAAGTAAGAAAGGACTCTTTCGTTACACATGTATGTGCGTGCTTGTGGTGTACACGCACACACACACACACACACACACACACACACACACACAAAAATTCCTGGGAAAACTCCATTTTCTTCCAGTTTCATTTTTCCCACGGATTTTTTTGAAGCCCCTTCATCTCTCTATATAATTTGTAAAAAATGAACTTCTATTTGCTGGGACCTCTCTGCTTTGCTGGCCACCTGCCTGCAGCTACCCCGGATGGTTTCTCTTCCAGGTACGAGCTGCCCTGCCCTTGCGAGACCCCTGAGAGCAGACCCCGTGCCTTCGGCGGGGTGTAGCTGCAGCCAGAAGGTGAATTTTCCAGGCAGTGGGAAGATTTACCTAGAGCCACTGCCCTCAGCCAAGTTTGCAGAAAGCCAGAAGCTGTGAGACACCAGAGCACAGCCCACCTGCCTCAGCGCTGGCTCTGAAGCTCTCCATTCTCCAGGAGGATCAGCCCCTCTCCACCCCAGCGGGCAATAGGGAGATGAAGTAACCCAGCAGTCCTTTTGACTGCCCCCAGCACCCGGAGTGCTTGCCAGCAGATGACATCCACGATACAGCCTACAGAGAGAAAGGCTCCTTATGTAAATGTAGACCTTTTATTGTAGTGTGAATAAAAAGGAGACTCTTCAGCATGCTAGAGGGTGCAGAGAGGGCTGCTTCAGGCTCTGCTGACGGTCAGAAGAGCCAGTGTGGGGCCCATCTCCTCCTCACTTCTCATCCTGGCCGGCCCTCCGGCTGGTCAGTCTCCATCAGTCAGTCCTGTGCCCTTTTTTTAGGCCTGTGTAGACACTGGGGCAGTCCCGGATGCACACCGGGTTCTGGTCTCCATAGTCCCATCCCAAGTCAGTTCTTGCCTAAGGAGAATTCCTCTTGTTTCTTTGAGTTTTCATGATGATCAGCACAGCTGGCCACATGGTGGTGTTTTCACCAGTCCAATCATCACACTGAACATCTGCAGCTGCATCTGAGAACGATGGCATCCGCAGCTCATGCGCTGCACCATGGGATGAGCAGGCCTGAAAGAATTCGGGGTGGGGGGGAATTCTGCTATCCTTTCATTCCGTTTCCCCATGAACTTTTTGAAGCCCCCTGTAGGTAGTATATTTTATTACTAGTGATAAACTCAAAATCTCAAACTCACTGCCACTGAGTTGATTCTGACTCAGAGCGACCTTGGTGGCAGAGTGATTGGTTACTTGCTGGGCTGCTAACCACAACGTCAGCAGTTTGAAACCACCAGCCCCTTTGAAGGAGAAAAAGGAGTCTTTTTACTCCTGTAAAGAGCTACAGTTTCTGAAACCCTCCAGGAGCATTTCTACCCTGTCCCTATAGAGTTGTTATGATTTGGAAATTAATAAGATGTTAAAAGAACACAAAACGCAAACCCCACACCCAGACGGCACTAAGTTGGGTTCTTCGTCAGTAGGATGTGTCCTAAGGTGGGGGCGACCCGTATCCGGAGAAGTCTGGAGACTTCACCAAACTGGAGTGGTTCATGACACACAACCTTGTGCAGGGAAACAATCAAGATGTGATGCAACGGTCACACCAAATAATAGGAAAGGCCAAACCCCAAGGGACACAGGTGTCACATAACCCAGGTGTAACATTATCCCAGACTGTAAGCCATGCGCTAGAAGAAGAGGGCTGTGGGGAAATAGTTAGGATGCACTCCATGAAAAGGGTGGGCCACAGTACTGTACAGTAGCAGCAAATCCATACCCCTCCACCCACTACGCCGTGGCATAGTGCTTTACACACTGAGCTGCTCACCACAAAGTCAGCAGTTCGAACCCCCCCAACTGTTTTGAGCAAGACAGGAAGCTTTTAAATCCCATCTAGATTGAAGGTCTCAGAAGCCCAAAGGGACAGTGTTACTCTGCCCTCTAGGGTCACTGTGAGCAAGCTCATACGTGGCCGGTGTGCACATCCACGCACGCACATCCGCCAACGACCACACCTGTTGTTGTTGAGGTGATCCAACCCCATGGGTCACAGAGCGGAACTCACCAAAGGGCTTTCCTGGCTGTAATCTTGTTGAAGTCATCATCTGACCCAGCACTGGAGGGTCCGGGCCAGGGGGCAATTGAACGGCCACCTTCTAGGAAAGTAGTAGAGTGCCAGCCCTTTGTGCCCCCTAGGAATCTATAGGAAGGGTAAGTAGAAATCAATACTGCTGCTTGGGGTCCGGTTCATCCCAAACCAAACCAAACCATACTCATTGCCATCTAGACATCTCATTGCCTACTCCTAGACAGGGTCAAGCTGCGCTTGGGAGTTTTCTGAGATGGTAACTATGGGAGTAGAAACCCTTGTCTTTCTCCCAAGGAGCAGCTGGCAGTTTGGAAAGGCAGACCTTGTGGATCTCAGCCCAACCTGCAGTTTATTCCATACAAACGTGTTAAAACACGTCTGTAATCAGTGGATGGCTGTAGACAAGCTTTCTTGGTCATACACTTGTCTTGGTCTAATTAAAGTGCCTTGAAAAAACCCAACAAAACAGTAACTTCCGATGCGATCTGCTGGGCTAGTTCACTTCAAGGCCGAGGTCAGCTGGGATGTTTATATCAACTCTGTGTTGTTGGGTTCCAAGAGGTATGGTGATAGCTTTCTTGAAGGACACCGGGCAGGAGCTTCTTATAAGAAGGGTTAAGACAATGGAAAACTCATTTGGTGAGAAAA